AGGAGGAGGAGGAAAAGAGGAGGAGGAGGAGGAGGAGGAGGAGAAGGAGAAGGAGAAGGAGGAGAAGGAGAAGGAGGAGAAGGAGAAGGAGAAGGAGAAGGAGAAGGAGAAGGAGAAGGAGAAGGAGAAGGAGAAGGAGAAGGAGAAGGAGGAGAAAGAATGAAGGCCAAAAGCAAAAGGTCCTTGGTCTTTTGGGAATCCCTACCCAGTATAATTCTGATCTCATCTCCTTGGCTAGTACTGAGTCATATGGACGCTCCTAGTTGTAAGGAGTCTGGGGAGATGACTGAACACATTGCCACTCAGAAAAATTCAGAGAGAAAGGGAGCAGAAGAGAAAGTATCTGACTAGGGAACCAACAACATCTGCCCCCAGTGCTCATAGCCCCACCCATAGAAAATTCTGCTTTTATTCCCCAGTGTCAGTGGCAGAGGCTGGGTAGGGTGAGATCATGCAAGTCCTGTGAGTCAACAGCTACAACTCACTTAAATTCAAGAAGTTATAAATGGGTCACCCTGCAAGATGCTGGAGCCTATAAGCAGAGAAAGATGCTAGGTCCAGTCAGTACCTTTCCATGAGGCAGCAGATGTAGGTCATTGAACACAGTAAAGTTCAGACCGTGGTATGTGCAATTATAGTTACAGAAACATAATGGTGTTAATCATAGCAAGAATGAGATGGCCTTAGTTTCAGTAAGGTAGTATTTGAACGTATCTTTGCAGGGTAGATAGGATTCTTATAGGTAGAATAGAAGGGAAAGGATGTTTCAAGCATCAAGAAAAAAACTATATGAGCAAAAGACTGAGGGCAGGAAAGCAGGCAGATAATCATGTATGGCCCTTGGAATAACATTTTCAAGGATTGTGGCAGCAAGGGAGATGGATGGGAAAGTAGGGCATAGAGTGGGTTAGAAGAAGAAGCAGGAGAGGTACCTGGGTGTTGGATCATAAAGACTGAATGTCATGTTTAGGATATGGGCTTTAAAACTTGCAGGAAATAGGGAGCCATAGCTGTGTTGTGGGAATAGTCCGACAAAGAGTGGACAGTGGTGGACATGGGGAGACTCAGTTTGTTCTGACTGAGGCAGAGCTAGCACTGGGAGGCTGGTATCACAAAGGCCTGACCTAGAATAAAAGCACTTGACATGGAAAGAGATGCTCCTGGGAGAGGTGTGAGCATGGCATCCATTTTTCTGGATGAGGAACTTGTTGGGGATAATGCAATTTACAAAGTCAAGGAAGACATAGGAGGGGAGCTCTTGGAGGCACAGGCTATGCTTTGGAGCACGTGAAGGGTTCCCCAAAGGCCCGTGTGTTGAAGACTTGGTCCCCAGCCATGACACCATTGAGAGGTGGTGGAACTGTTAAGAGGTAAGGTCTGGTGGAAAGTCGTAAGATCACAGGGCTACGCCCAAGAAGGGAATAGTAGGACCCCAGCTCCTTCCTGTCTATCTTTTGCTTCCCAGTTGCCATGAAGTGAGCAGGTTTGTTCTGCCACTTGCTCCTCACCATGATGTATGACCTCCCGACAAACTCAAAAGCAACAAGGCCAACTACTCATGGACTGGAACCTCCCAAACCGTGAGCCAATGTAACTGCTCTCTTTATAAGTTGATTTGCCTTGGGTATGTGTCACCGTGATAGAAGGCTCCTTAGCACACATGGGATGGGTTTAGCATAAGTAGTATGGAATTACTTGTCTGGGTCTCCAGGAAAAAAGGACCAGGCTGGACATTAAGGGGTCAGCAAGCCTAAGTGAGTGGCAAAACTGTGTTTGTGGATTACATTGTCCAGGAACTCCATAAAGGGACAAAAGGCCAACACAGCTGTTTGAGGGAGAGGCCGGAGGAGTTTGAGAAAGAAAGGTCATGGAGAAAGAGAGAGGTCTGCATGCATTCGGAAGTGAGCCAAGGAACTGGAAACTGCTGTCCCAGGGTCATGGCCTTGGCACAGTTAAGCTTGTGCAATCAAGCCAGTGTGCATGGAGACAAGGTAGCAGTTAGTAGACAGAATCTGCTCCGATCCTGCTGCCTGCATCTCAGGATGAAACAGCACCTGGATAGCTTCCTGTGTCTACCTCGGAGAACTGCCTGCTAGGTGGGACCAGGGCTCCCCTGAGATCGCTAGTTGCTCCCTTTCTACTCTCCCTGAGGGTCCTCCCTTCCGTGTCTGAGGCTGTGTGACCCAGACACTGACTGTGGAAGAGCTACTTCTGCCCCAGCACAAAGGACCCAGGCTGAGTCCTCTCCTGATGAGGGTTTAGTTGTTTCACTTTAAGTTACGCAGCTCAGAGCAAGTGTTCAAGCATGGAGCAGCCCTTATGCTACAGCTGTGCTACCCTCTCAAGCCCAAGCCTGTCCTTCCACGGCTCCGGTTTTGGGTCTTGGTGGGGTGCAGAGAGTTGTAGGAGTGCTTTCTGCACTGTCTTACCCTATTTTCACCACAGCTGTGCTCCTTTGGCCCAGCTTTTTCTGCTCCTTGGGCTTCTGGAGAAGTAGGTTCTTCAGGTGGGACTGAGAACTCATTGTTTAGCTTTATGTTAGTGGTGCTCTCTCCACAGCACTTTGAACCCTGACCACGGGGTCCTCCAGGAACATGCTGAGTCAGCCCCTCCCCAGTTCTTGCTTGCAAGTTTTTCTTGGTGCTCTCAATGGTTTCCCATTGCATAAAGAATAAAAGCTGGAATCATCCAGGAACTGTCTGGCCTGGTGGATCTGCTTTCTTCTCCAGCCTGTCTCCTCTGCTTGAGGACCACACTGGGGGGAAATTTCACAGTCAACTCTTTTTGCCTCAGGACCTTTGCACAGGTTATTCTCTTCTCATATCAGAAGCATTTCTCCCTCCTGTCTAGCACCCTAACACTTAGCTCTTTCCCCTCAGTCCCTTACCACTCCTGATCCCTTGGCTTGCTTTTCAAATGCTACATCCTCAGGGCTCTGAGCTATGTTTTAATTGCCCACTTATTCATGGGGTTATTTGATAAATATCTATTTTGCCCATTGGCCAGAAGGGACCACATCCTGTTCCCCCCTATTGTATCCTCATAGCTTGACCCAGGGTAGAGTAATGATTAATTCCTCCCATCCATAAATGTGTTAAAGGATGGAGCAGTTGGTGACTTCTTTTAACTCATGCCCAAGGTGATGAATGTGTCTCTTTTTTTCCCCGGAAGAGAGCTGTAACTCCTAGAATAAGTCAGTGTGTTGCCTTGTAGCTGTAACATCCTGAATTCCTCCAGCAGGACACCTGGATGGAACAGTAAGCAACACTATTTGAAGCCAAGCCACAGCGATCCCTCATGCAGACTTAGCTCCTGCTGCCTCTGCAGCCTGGCTGTCAGCAGGGTTAGGAGGAGCACCTGGGAAGTAGCTTGGCTGAACATTCTGGAATTCTCTGCCAGCAAAGGGCCTGAGCCAACAGGTGGCTCCGCTCTGGTGTTCTGACCCATTGGCCTTTCCTTCCCCAAACAGGCTTGCAAAACCTCTGCTTGGTGTGTCCTTGCCAGCAGCTGTACCAAAAAGCAACAGTGAGGTGAATAAAGGCAGGATTCAAGGACAACTGGAGGGATGACTCTACTTGCCCAAGGACATGGGCTTAAAAAAATGGTGTGGTTTCGTCTTTCCCACTTCAAGCAGATAAAAAAGGGAATGGACAATTGTAACAAAGTCCTCAGCTTATAGAAAAGTCAGGAACAGAAGCATTAGTCTGTCTGAAATCACATGGATTAGCAAGATTTGAGCCAGACTTTGGTAAAAGAGCTTTTGAAGTCACAGGGACTCAAGTGAATCTGAGTCTAAGCCAGAGCAGTGACCATTCAGCCCAAGGTCTGTGCTCAGGGGTCAAGCTGTCCTCCCCAGAACATCCCTGAGGGAGCCATGAATTTCTCAGTAGCCATTTACAGTTTCCCTGTTGGCTCCAAAGCTATCTTGAATTCATGTATGTTTCCTGCCTTGGGGTTTTGAGACCGGACTATTTATTAAGATAAGTCAATCACCATGAGCCAGAGCTGGAAGGGACCTCTTTATTTCACAAATGAGAACATAGGCCCAAGGCTGAGGGTGTTAGAGGCAGGGCTGGGTCTCTGCTGGAAGGGACTGGGGCTTGCTGGGAAGTCCTGGTGGCCCCGCCCGGACTTGGACAATCACAGTACCGCTCAGCAGCCACCCTCCACCCGCAGCACACACCTTAGCTGGGGCTTAGTCGCCTACCCCATAGCAGAGCTTCCGGGGTACCAGCCTGGTGGGTAGCCTTTGCGTTTCTGCGGTTTCTGCCAGTGCCCAGCCTCAGCCTCTGCCTACAGACTCTGTTCCCAGGGATAGAATCTGTTTATAGCATTCCGTGAGCCAAGCCTTCCATGGGGTCATTACCATTTTCCCGTGTGAGGAAATCAGAGACTCCAGAGGTCAGAGCTTCCAGGCTCTAAGATGTAAATGTACAAATTCAAGTTTGTCATCTTGAATTTTGAATCCTGGGGACTGGGATGGGGGAGCAGAGGCAAAATGTGCTGCTTCTTGGCAGGGACAGGGTTTGGGGGTGTTTGAAAAGGGGTCTGGGCATCAAATCTTCGGTTCAGGTGAGGGCCCCGCCCCCAGGGCCCTATCTGGCTCTAGAGGAAAACGACAGCTACAAACAGAGCCGGCTCCGGCAACCACGACACAGCCATTCATGCCGCTGGTGCGTGCTCCCCTTAATAGCCAAGGCACCCAATTAACGTGGGTTGCTATGTCTGATGCTGGGTTATTTTCTTTTATTTTTTTTGTCCCCCTGAGTTTACTATTTCGGAGAGATACCAGCTCTGTCACTGTGTTTGTCTGGCTCCCTTCCCACCCTCACCGGAGGAAAACCGTAGAGCAACAGCTGACTGCAAATCCGCTCTGGCGCCCGCGAGCCTTCTCGGCGGGCGGCGGCTCCTGTTGCTTCTCCGAGCTCCGCCGCCCTTCGGGAAAATCTCCCGCGCGCTCGCTCGCTCGCGTGGAGGAGAAGTGGGCGAGGGCGCGAGCACCGGCGGAGGCGTCTGCGCGGGGCCGCTGCCCAGGAGCCAGGGGCCGGCGTCCGCCCGGGAGCCCAGCCCGCGCGCCCCCGCCCACCCCAACTCGGCGCACCCGGAAGGCGGGAAAGCAGCGCAGGCCGCGCCCACCGCCCTGCCCCCAGCCCGCCACTCCCCGGCTCCGCGGGTCTCAGCGCGTCCTCCTGGGATCGGCTCGGAGGGGAGCGGCTGTGCAGGTGAGCGGCTGGGGAGGGCTCAGTTGGCTCGGTCCTGGAGGGAAGGGGCTCGGGTGGGGAAGGTCCCGAGCGCTGGGAGCGCGGGCTTGTTTGTTGCATGGGGTGTATGTGGTCCTCCCCCCGGGTCTCGGCCGGGCAGCGGGAGGCGGCTTTAGGGATGTAAACAAGGAGGTGGGCGTCGGAGACGGAGGGCCCGGAGGGAGGCAGGCAGTGGCCGCGGCGGGGATGCTGGCAGCGGGGAAGGGCTCTCCTTGCTGCCTTGAACCTAGGGCCAGGGTCTTTAGGAGAAGGGGAAAGGGCTGCGCCCACCCCGTGTTCAGGGGAGTTTTCCTTTGTTACTTGGATGCTGTGGACCTGAGTTGGGCGTAGGGACGCGAGGACGGGGAGTGTGGCTGGATGTGAGCGTGGACACAAAAGCCACACAAAATGGAACTTGCAGGGTTGGGGTGTGGAGGGGTAGCGGGCAGAGAGAGGGGCGGTAGCGCTCGAGGATTCATGACAATGTCTGCATCACTTTTTTCTCCTTCAGTCCTATTTTCTGTCCAGGGGGCTCAGATTTTCCCATTTCCACCTTTCCCCACCATGGCTGGTCCTGGCGAGCCTCCCCCTTTGTGTCCCCTGGGGTTTGCTGTGGAGTTGGAAGAGCAGCTTGGCTTTCCCCGCGCCTGCTCTGGCTCTTACAAGTGGTGGAGCAGCCTGGCTGGAAACAGGTCTGACCAGGCCCCTGCCAAGCTCCAGACCCCGGGGGAGGCTTCTCCCCCGCCAGTATGGCCTCTGTCTCTTGTTCCTTTGTCTCCTTGGCTTCATCCCTGGTTGGGCAGGGCGTCCCAGGTTTGCAGATGGATCAGTGGACATCCCAGGCCCTCCATGAAAGGACCCCCACTCAGGGGGCTCAGCCGCCCTCATATTATGTGTGTGTGGATGTGTATATCTCTTTTGCAACTTGGCCTTTGGCGTGTGACCTGCCTGGTGGTTACCATGGAAACTCCTCATCCTCCCTCCTTTTCCTGCCCATTCCTCACCTCCATATTGCCTCCCCTCCCCCAATATGGTTGCCTAGATACTGGTTATCTTTGGCTTCTATGGAGAGAAGACCCTGGATGCCTGGCTCCCACTCCAAAATGATATGGCCCTTTACCCACTCCACTCCCTCACATAGGCTATACATCACAAGCACCCCCAACACATACACACACGTTATACACAGGCAACATGTTCGCACACACATGCTCCATGTATCCTACTCACCATACACAACATACTTTATGTATATACCATGCACACACATGTATCATACCACATGAATACCACTTACACACGAAATACACCGCATCCATACCACACCTCAGACCCACCACTTACAAAGCTTCACTTACATCCTACTCTAATGGGAAGTATTTTCACACCCCTCAACAATAACACATACATCACTCCCTGACACATATGCTCATGCCCTTCGGGTTGTGAGCGTGTGCATGCACGCGCGCGCACACACACACACACACACACACACACACACACACAACTTCTAAATAGGTCTCTGTTTGGCTGAGGGGAAGAAGGGAGAGGGGAGTTTCCTGTCTTTCGGACCCCTGTGCTCTGTGCTTAAGGGTGTGGAGGGGAAGACAGGAGGCTCAGGAAGCCCAGAAGGGAAATCCTAACTTCTCCCTGGAGACGCTGGGTGAGATGGTGGAGGAAGAGACACTTCAGATTCCTTTACCATCAGGCCTCCTCTCCTTGGTGCCAAATTCCAGAGGCTGGGAGATCAGAATTTAAATCTCTCCATGTTACAACTCCGGAAATCCTGAGGCCTCTGGGCATTTTCCTGACTATAGGAGGCTTTGAGGAGGGGAGGGAGGCCTGTCACCCTGCAGAGGTACAGAGTGAGAGAGCCCCAGGAGGGCAGGGAGGGCAGGGAGGAGGGAAGAAGAGCCAAGAAGGTGGAAGCAGGGAGGTTGATTCCTGTCTAGGGTTCAGGTCGCTCTCCCTTGTCTTGTTTTCCTGCTTCCCACTTGGCTTCTCCAGCCAGACCCAGGCATCCAGGAGAGGAGGCAGGCTGGCAAAGGGCTCCTCCACTGCCACTCTCCAAGACTTGTGGTTTCCATGGTCATCAGCTGGTACATCTCTGAGGGAAGAGTTTCCTTTCTGGCTTCCATTTGATCTTTGGACTATTGAAGAAGACGTTTAATTCAATCATTCAGTGACCTGTGTTAAAGGTGTGTTAAGTGCTGGGGACACCTGTGAGGGAGACACAGTCCCTGACCTCGGAATCTCAGAGCCAGAAGAAGGCTTGAGGGAGCATTCAGTCAGGACATAAGTGGGGAAACTGAGGCACAGAGATCACATGTAGTACCTGAGGCCATCACATTTCTTAGTCAGGATTTTGGACCCCACAGTGCCTGACCAGCATCTCTTGTGTTCTTTTCTCTGCTATCATCAGTCCTTTGGAGACAGGGATGCCCCTTCCACAGTGAGGTCCCCTGCTCTCTTGGAATGTAATGCTGGAGAGTATGGCAAAGAGAGGTGGGATAAGGAGCAGTTTCTTAGACCCTGCAAACTCCCCGACAGCTGTCAGGGAGTTAGCCCACCTCGCTCCCCAACACGCGCGCGCGCACACACACACGTCAGAGCATGCTACCCCCACCTCCAGCCCTGTTGACTTAGTAAAGGACCATCTGGATGGCAGACAGTGCCAGGCAGCCCCTGGGACTCCCCATCCAACAACTCTCCCATTAACTCTGCCAGAGTAACCCTGGGAGGAACAAACCAGTTCTAAAAGCACAGCCTTCGGAGGCAGAGAGCCTAGGGCAGAAAGCCTGGTTCTAGCCCAGCTCTGCCCCTGTGCTGCTGAGCTTCCCAAGGGCACAAATACTGTATTCATTCTACGTCGGTGTTACAGATAGGGCTTCTGGTGAAATCTAAAAACGGCCTTGACAGCTCTCAAGCAACCAAAAGCCTCTAAGATCTTTGACGTCTGTTTCTGCATCTGTCAATAGACGTTCAGAATCCTGATTTCCAAGCCATGTCTTCCTCTAAATTTGTGTGGATTATACAATCCTGACATCCCTTTTCTCTCCAGGCACCAAATTGTACTTTTTATTTCACAATACAGGGCTGCAGCTGAGCAGAGCAAAAAAGGGGCTGGCCTCTGGCTACTCCCCAGAAAGTTCCCCTTCACCCAGTAAGGCAGGTGGTGTCCGAAGAGTGGAGACTAGAGATGGAATTTCTTCTCTTGGGCTCAGGAGCACCTCCCCGCACGCCCCGCTGGGTGGAGCCTTTAAAGGGCCTCCTTTGGGGAGGACCAGACCCAGCTGGGTCAGCAACAGAGGGCCTCCAAGAGGCTGGATGTGACGAGGCCTCGGGCGCAGGATCAGCTGGTCAAATGGCTGGGGCTGGGAGGATGCAAGTTAAGAGGCCATCATCAGGGTGAGAGACTGAGGCTGGGTGAGGTGAGGAAGTGCCCTGGGGAAAAGCTCTGGCCAGCTGGAGAGGTAGCAGGGAGAGTGTCCTGGGCTGCCTCTCTGTCCCTGACAAGAAGCAGGCTATCGCTGGCTGAGACAAACACTTGGGACCATTTGGCAGCATCTTATTCGCTCTGAGATGGGAGAAGGTGGAGGAGTCTCGGAGGCCACATAGAAACACTGTTGTCACAAAGACATGCAGGGGAGGAGGCCCAGGAAGGAGGTGGGGACCCTAAGGGCCAGGCTAGACCTGGGTGGAACCATTGGAATGTCTCCAGGCCAGCTCAGAATACTGAATTTGGGTACACAAGTCCAAAGATGAGATTGGGGGCTGTCGAGTTAGAATGACAATGACCCCACACAGTTGGAGGGCAAAAGCAGGCCTGGTTTTAGAGACCAGAGGCCAAGGTCTCAAATTCAGTCGTTCGGTCTTTTAGCAAACGTTTACCAAGATCCTTCCCTGGACCAGGCCCTCTGGGCTTCTCAGGACTGAATGGAGCTGTGGAATGACAGTCTCCAACTCAGCAGAACCGTTCGGCTCTGGAGGGTCAATTGATTTGTCCTCGGCCACCCTCCCCCTGCCTACCTTACCTCACTTCCTGTGAGAAGGGCCCAGTGATGTGCTTTCTCCCCAGGACAGGCCCATCACACAAGCACTTACACACTTACACTTACACACACACTCCCTTCCTCACACACATAATCTCCCACATCTGACATGCAGGCAGGTACTCACATATCCCTGCAACGCCTTCCCTCACTCAGCCTCAGTCGCATGCCCTGACTCTTGTGATGGCCTCTGGGCTTACATCCTCTTAGCCCGTGCTGCAGGTGAGGTCTAGTCATGTCCAGCCTCTTGGGGTCCCCCTGTTGCTGGTTAATAAGACAAGCACTGTGCCTGCCCTCCAGGCTCTCTGGGATCTGGCTGCTGCCACCTCTCTAGGCGTCATCTCCAGATGCTCCTCCAAAGCCTTGCATTTTCCTGCCCTCTGCCCAGGCTCTGCTGGGATGTGCTTTTGCTCCTGCCTGCGGAGCAGAGATTAGCAGCCTTTGTACACAGACTTGGGTGCTAAGCTGTGTTCTGGTGCTTTTTAGTTTTCTCAACTTTTCAAAGTCTCTGTTGCCTTGCCTATCAAATGAGCATGAAGATTGAGTAGGATGAGCTCTGTAAAGTGTTAGCACAGTGACTAGGACATGGTCAACACTCTCTAGATATTGCATGCTGTAATAGTAATGATGGCTACTCCATCTCACTCTTACTAGAATGACATCATTGGTGTTACATCATCCTTTGAGGCTCCTACCAAGTGCTAATTCTTTTGAGTAGCTCTTTCTAATTCCCCACAAATGCTGCTTTCCTCCCCCTATAGCCCTGAAAGCTCTGTCTCCTTAGGCCCACTGTGCCTGCTGCTTCCCTCCAAGCCTCCCTTCAGTCCTGGTGGCACATGGAGAAAGCCCAGTAAGCACTTACGAATCAAGTGTGTGTGGGAAGAGTCCTCACCCCCCAGGAGGAGTTGAGTCCACTTGACCCTGCAGCCG